GCCCCTGCTCAGCCTGCTTTCTTATGCAACACAGGCCCACCTGCCCAGGGGTGGCACCACCCACAGTGGGTTGGGTCCTCCCACATCACTCATCAAGAAGATGCCCTTCAGACATGGCCACAGGCCAGTCCAATAGAGGAAATTCCCCAATTGCAGCTCCTTCAACCCAGGTGTGTCAAGTTGACACTAAAGTTATCAGCACAACAGCCTTATGGTTTTATTAGAAAAACCTGTGGAAATAGTAGAAAAACACGTCTGCTAAATACATGCGATAGCTCCCAGATGAAGAAAAAAATTATAAGATATTTAGAAGGAAATATAATTGCTCTTCATATAGAAACCTAATCCTTTCGTAAATAGCAGTCCTATATCCCTGTTAAAATTAGAATTATCTGTAGGAATATAGTCCCAGGGTCATATAGGATAAAACATTTGTTCTATTTTTCTATCAGTTTACTCTAAATGCAGGAGATATATAACAACAATAAGCAAAATGATTTTGGAAATGTATATTCTTTACTTGTTCTGATACTAGCTATGTGTTTGGCTGAAAGATGTGTTGTTTGTGTTAAACTACTTTTACTGGTTATTTTTCTCTTTGAGAATTTCATATTCCTGCACAAAACATTTTCATTACTGTCTTACCCTTTATTTTCCTCCCATTCCTACCAACCTGACCTAAACCGCTTTTTTAAAATGTTGTAAATATACATGGAACTGTCTAAGTCATTTTTAAAGTGTTTTTTATTTATGCAGACCTATTTGACAAAATTTCTGTATTCATGTTAAACATGTATGTGTTCATATATACATTATATATATGTTTATCATCTATTTATCTCTATCAAATTTCTATTTATTTTTTCTGCATTCAAAACCTCCCATATTGCATATCTTTGTAGTTAAAACAGAATCTTGAGAAAGTTATGCTCCTGAAAAGCAGCAGAGCCCATATAAAAGTCAAAGGGAAAAGTCATATGGAAATCTATTTTATAAGCTTCCTAAAACTTATGCATATAAAACAGTTTGCTTCTCCATACGTGGAGGGAGGAGAAATGCCACTAGTAGATGCCATAGGCTAGGAAACCAAAAGCCCAGGACCAGGTATAGAAAACCACCTGCTAAGTTGTTGATTAGGGGTTCCCAGAGACTAACAACATAATACAGACTATTGTCATTGCTCCTGATTACTTACTAGAACTTGATGGTAAAAACATGTTGCTGAAGACATCACATACTTTGATCACAGGACATGGAGAAATCAAGCTGGAGCTTACCTGTGAGCTTCTTCCCTGCTGGGGAAGAAAAGCCATCAACAGTCCTACCCACCTGTAATTCCTGTCCATTACAATAAAGACAGACCTAGGGAAATATGGTCATTGATACAATAGTGCTATTAAAGTTCTCTAATTGAACTTAAGACCAGCTTCACAAGAGGGACCAAACTCATGCCTGATACTGTAAACTTGCTCAAGAACCTGTGGCTGGGGAGATCATAGGCTCTGTTAACACAATCTGATAATGAAACATAGTATCAAAATGCTTCTAAATACTTATCCTTCTATCCTCAGACTAGTGCAGCTCTCATCTCTCCTCTGAGATTATTTATGCAAATGATGGAAATACCACAGATATTCCCTACAAAGGGAAGACAGTAGGTGAGTAGGGAGTATTTATTTTCAGATTAACCATCACTATCACCACAGCTCCATCACTCCTTCAAGGCTCAAGGAAAATCATGGATAGAAAGAGGACAGAATGGTATAAGAGCCAGAGGTCGCTTGGAAGATGTTCATTAAATAGTGTCCTGTGGACACAATGGGGCCACTGCACTCATGAACTCACAGAAAATATGCTGGTGCTAACCTGCAGAAGATCAAGTTAGTCAACACCCAAGAATGGAGAGGAAAGGGCTCAGGAAGCACCACACCTCGCTGAGGAGTTACTGGCAGCTACTGGCTGCAGGGGCGGGAGCGGGGGGGGGGGGGGGGG